GCAGTTGTTGGTATCATAATGAGGCATAAGGTCCTTCCGCTTTGTCTCTGCTCTGGTGGGCCAATGGTGATATGGGATTCCACTGGTAAATCTGGGGTTCCTCAGTTTGGCTTCCTAAATAACTCATAATCCAGATTGCACTGCTGATAAGGTGGTTGGTTTTATTTATTTTGAACATAGGACCGAGCATTAAATACATCAAACCCAAGTGGTTAAAACATGATGGGGGAGGGGAGAAAACTTTTCCTGCTTATATAATTACTGAATGTTAAAGTCCTCGCAGCTTGATTCTTACTAAGAAGATCCTTTTCTCTCCCTCAGTTCTCTGGAGCAGAAGCGTCACCTGGTGTGACTGATTTTTGTCTGATTTCTTCTTGCCCCAACAGTCTGTCGCTCCAACAAAAGCCCCTGGATCTGCCTGACTTGCTCAAGCGTCCACTGTGGGAGGCGAGTGCGGGAGCCGGGCTCCTCTCCCGGGGGGGGGGGGGGGGGGGCTGCCTTCACAGCCTCCCCACTGCTTTGTGGCCTGGGACAACAGTTACGTCTCGAGAAGGACTTTGGGGTAGACCAGCTGCCCTCCCTTTGTTGCCGCCACATCTGTATGGGCTCAACTCCTGCAGGTTGGACCAGGAGCACATCTGGGGAAGGCTGGCCAAGATTCCAACCGGAGTTGCGGCCCTGGCTTCAGAGTTGCCTGGTACAGAAGGACGAGGCGCAGTCATGCTTAAAGCAAATGGCTACCCATGTTTGGTAGAAGTGTCTAATGGTCAAGGAAGAACCATCTGTCCCCAGTTCCCATGAGGCTGCCCTGCTTTTGCTGTAGGCCGGGCACCTGCAGCTGCTTTGTGTGGCTGCTGAAAAACAGCCCTCCATTTTGCAGGCTCCTGGGGGCAAAAATATTTTGCTTTGCCATCTAAAAGGGCAGGGGAGGTAAAAGCATCTTATTGGCTTTTCTCAAAATACTTGAAATTCTCTTTGTTTGGACCAGCAGCAGGAATATAAACCCAGTAAAACTGACGGAAGAACCTTTCCAGTCTCCCCTCCATTTACGTAGCCTTCCAGCGTTTGGAAACTGATTTTTCAAAACCTGCTGAGTCTTACTGAAAGAAATTGGACAATATTAAACAGGAGCCAATGCAGTTGCCTCTCCGGCTAGTTCACAAGTTAGAAAAAGCAGGCCCTTTTGTGGAGGAGGCTCCCCAAATCCCACTTTGGTTTCTTTCTTGACCCTTTAAGGTATGTAAACGGCCACGCCAAGAAGCATTACGAAGATGCTCAAGTGTCTTTAATGAACCACAAGAAAGCAGAAAAGCAAGAAAAGGTTCAGCACTTGGTGTGCATGGATTGTAGTAGTTACAGCACCTACTGGTAAGTCAGTAGCCGCCCCACTGATATTGGGGGTGGGGATGGGTGGAGATTGAGAGGGTGGCCCCATTGTGGGAGGAGGCTGAAGAGGCCCCCGGCTCTCTCCTCTCCTCCAGGCCTTTCCTTGCTCCTCCTTATTTGAAGCTCTTGGCAAGTCACTTGGATTAAGAAACATTTTGGCCCAATTCTGTACTTCTTCATATGGGGATTCTACTTTGTTTAAACCTGGGCCCCAAATGCCCATCCAGCCAAACTTTCTCTCTGAAGGGTCAGTTTGACCGGGGGAGCCTTTGAGGGGAAGGTGGCAGCTCAGTTCAAATCAGTGTCTGATCCTGCTTTGCAGAAGAAACTTCATTTATAGTTTATAGTTTGGCTAAAACAGAAAATGGTGATTTACTAAATCTAAAGAGAAGAGGGCTCCACTTTCAGGAAAAGAGAGGAATTCCCCGTATGGTGAAGAACTGCCCCCCCCCCCCTTCTGTGCCTTTGCTCCTTAAGTGTCCCAGGCTTCTAAAATGAGCAAGTGAGCCTTTTCTTTTGGAGCTGATGGTTCCTTCATTGCTGAGGCTGCTTCTTGGTCGTGGACGATGTCTCCCCCGCAGGTGCTGAAGTAGAGCCTTTCTTTGCCTCCTCTATGAACGCCTGCAAAGTTCAGCTGCCTTAACAGGGTTCTTGCCCACCTTTCATTTTTCTCTACATTTGGTCTCCAGCGTATTATGACAGGCCTTAATTTAGGCTGCAATTAGGAATCATAAGATGCCGAAAAGCGTTGCTAAAAGAAAGAAAACGCTTGCCAGGAAAAGGGCAGCACTTGTTATTTCT